GCCATATCATGCAATATAACCGTGGCCTCTCCGACAGGAAAATGAAATGTGCGCACCTCTATGCGCCACCTCTCTACGAGAGTTGTAATGAGATAGTGGTCTAATCGAATATGACCGATCCGATACACCCCATAGAACCCTGCACGCAGTAGGCAACGTAGGACTCTATGGTCCAAGGCGGTGTCCCATAAGCCCGAATCATATCGTCAGCGTTTCAATTTTGGCTGATCTTTCACCTGCACAAGACAACATTATGTGTATGAAACCTAATGCCTTTGGACTTCACTATCAATGCCTTTAGACTTCATTATAATTTTCTGCGAAACTTAACTGAAACCTTGAAAATAAGTTCCGATCAGGTACAGTTTTCACTATTTTAGAATTTTTATATAACGTTCATAACTGTAAATTTAAAATAATTCACATTTTCAAACATAATTGTAAATTTAAAACAATTCACATTTTCATCCCTAACATTGAATCAATCTCATGATCCACATTTTCACACATAGACAAATGTCCCATCCCCAATTAAAAAACACCTTTTTTTTTGTTATACAGATTGACAACAACTGTACTACTTCATGTATCTATTTGAAGATGATGAAACTAACGACATTTAACAGACGCAGTGATATAAAAACAATTTACGTTACACTTTCAATTTAAACAATTCAATTTCCAAAAGGAATACAGTTTGACATTATATTATGTAACAACTGGAGTGTTTGTGTAGTATTAAAATATTGATTATAAATAAATAAATGATTTATACCGACTAACGCCATATCGTGTCGGCTCGATGCTGATGAATCAATAATGAGATCTTCTTTGGTAAATAAGTCATAGACCTGCACAAGTTTTCATATATGAAAATCAATATCCAATAACAACAAGTTTAAAATATTACATACATGCTAACAAAATTTTAGTAAGACCTGAGGGTATATCACGGGTATTCAAGATGCAAAAAGTTAGTAACAACAATTTTGATGGGTTGCACGAAATGAATAAGTTAAAATAATATCACGAGTGTGTGTTTTTCCACATTAACCCCTTATATGAATTATCGCAACCATGTCATATCCTTTACCTATCTATAAATAGCAGTTCCCCAAGTACGATCATTTTCCAACCCATCTCAATAGTTATTTACAACCCATTGATTTATTTTTGTTTGTTCTGTACAAAAAATGTCTTCAAGGGGTGCAGGCAGTTCACACCGTTGAAGCAGATCAAAAGTGTGGCGACTACCTCGATTTAGTTATGACTACATGAGCGAAAAATACTCTAGCCCAAAGGATTATTACACTAGTATTAGGGCAAAATGGGCATTCAGGGTAACGGAAGAGGAGAGCTTGTTTACTAATCTACGTAACTTAGGGGCACCAGTACCTCATCGTCGGTCATTGAGCATGCCTAGACGAAATGTAGGTAACTATGAGCAAGCAGTTAGCAGAATTAAAAAAGAGAACAACAGAATGTTGCTGCGGTGATGTCGACATTTCATCCTTCAACTAGCCACAAAAATGGCGAAAGTAAGCAACAGAGAATTTACTATAAGAGAGCGAAATAATGTCTTGGGCATTCAGGGTAACGGAAGAGGAGAGCTTGTTTACTAATCTACGTAACTTAGGGGCACCAGTACCTCATCGTCGGTCATTGAGCATGCCTAGACGAAATGTAGGTAACTATGAGCAAGCAGTTAGCAGAATTAAAAAAGAGAACAACAGAATGTTGCTGCGGAGATGTCGACATTTCATCCTTCAACTAGCCACAAAAATGGCGAAAGTAAGCAACAGAGAATTTACTATGAGAGAGCGAAATAATGTCTTAAACAATGACAAATATCTCTCAGACTACTAAATGTCAAATGAGGAATGACAAATCAAACATCAAAGTGGTGTTGTTCAATATGTGTGTATGTCGTACTTTATTATATGTTGTTCGTCTGTAACCGTCCATTGCACTATGTGTTTCTGTTTTATGTTGTTAGTGTGTAGCGGGTCTATGTTGTTTGTGTGTAACCGTCCACTACACTGTTGTTCGTATGTATCGAGTGTACGTTATTAACTGTCCATTGCACTATGTGTTACTATTTGCTCTAATATTAAGTTTATGACAAGTCATTACGTAGACTGACATGTAAACATGACCTGCAAATTTCTCATTGCATTGGTAACGGGTGGATCAGAAAAATTACAATGTATCTTATCTCTTTTCAGCATAAATCCAACCAAGTTCATTCAATTATCATTTAGTATCACAATGTAAGGTTTGTATATTGTTTTCGAAATAATGTTCCATAATCAATTTAAAGGGAAAAAAAAATAAAAAGTGCAGATTATAGGGAGCAAATGTATGAGATGTGTTGAACAGCCACATTTTCCATGGAAGTATAAACCCATTTAATCTGTCAAGTATGAAAGTAATTGAAAAATTAAAATAATAAACAATTACAAGGGGCATATGCATATGCCACATGATGATCTTTACAATAACGCAAGACAAATAATGTTGTACAATTTCAGTGAAACCAATACAGAAGTGATAATTGGAAACAATATAGACAGTTTGTTTCACATTCTAAATTCTAATTTATTGATAACTCATAGGTAATCATTACAAAGCCATTACAAGAGAAATCATTTGGTCAGACATCGAAACACTTTCATTCATTGTCATCATCTTCTGACATCTTAATGTGAAATTGATACATAGCATCCATGCTCCAAGAGAAATATTGTTGCGCATCATCCATTAACCCATCTTTGGCATGCTCATTCACGGTCTTCCAAAGTTCGGACCTTTGTAAACGTTGGGTCATGCGATTAACTTCATCGCAAATACGATGCAATGCCCTTTGTAACAATTGTGGAGTGTCAATTGGCATACGCATGGCTAATCGTTGAGGAAATTTAATATGAATTTCACGACATAGCTCAATGAGAACACTTGCTCGAGTAATGTGAAATTCCCACTTAGTTCTCATGGTATTGACGGTGTGATGTGAGTAACGCAAATTTGGATTTAATGGGTATTCAAATTCATCTTCATCTGCAACCCAATGGCAACCCATTACTGAATATAGATCAACAACCGTATATCTCATGATGATATCTCTCAGTTTTTCTATAAACATGTAGGTCTGCTATGGTGTGATACTTATAGCGGTCACTGGGCACAGTAGTTCAAACATGCAGAACACATAAAATGGAGATAGACACGCTTACTCATGTCTTCGCAATCCGACATACTAACATTGACTAGTCATTATAATAAACTACACGTAGAAGTTGTATGTTTCAAATTGTTGTAAGACAATTATCATGTCGACTTTTCTGAAGTGAGAAAACGTGAATCAGCTTTATACGAGTTGTCACTTCGACATGAAGTGACTAGTCAGTCTATAGTGGAGGGTGTGAAGTTGATTGCATTGAAGTAGTAAATACATTATTTAATATTAGTGAATATTGATTCATTGAATATTACATGAACCATCATATGAGGTTAATGTGTGATAACCCCACATGCCGACAAGGACTTCTTGCAGCAAATAAGGATCACGTGGTAACTGTGTTTAAAGTTATTGTAAGAGCATTATCACGTCAACCTTTATGAGATGGAAATACGAGTTTTCACTTTGTACGAGTTGTCAAATCAACAAATTTCAAATCCACTACTAACTTTGTAGAAGAACTACGCATTTACCAATATGTACCACCTTTCGGAGAAATGATTGAATTGATAAAATGGCATTCCCTCACAAATTGAATTTATATTTAAAAAAGAAAAAAAAAGGTCTACCACCTAACAAAATGTGCCAACGCATTGAATATTACATGCAATTTGTATAATTGATGATTATTAATGCATTTCACATTATTGTCATACGAGATAAGGTTCACATGGTAGATATGTGTTTAAAGTTTTTGTCAGTGCGTTGTCACGTCAACCTTTACGACATGAAAGAACGTTCTTTCACTTTATAGGAGTTGTCACTTCGACATGAAAGAAGTACCAAGGTTTGAAGAGGGTTTGAAGCAGATTTGGAATACAATACTCACACTTCTTATAAGAACTAAGCATTTACCAATATGTAACAAATTTCATAGCAACAATTTAATTCATAACATGGGCTTCCTCCCGTAATTAATTATTTCAAAACAGAACAACAATTTCGCACCTAACAAAATGTGACAAACCATTAAATATGGCATGCATTTATATTGGTGATTATTAATTCATTTCATAATATGTGCATTTTTGTAATATCACATCAAGTAAGGAGAGAAGGACAAATGAACAGGTGTCCATGGAGGTCAGGACACAATGGACCATCAATGCACCAAAGTGTTGACAATGCAGCACACAAACGTTTCCGAAAAACTAAACAGTAAAGGACAGCTGGAAAAAAAAATTAATTAAAAATCCATTTGAAGAGATTTGCCACATTTGCCGAAATCAATGTCATCAGTAATTGACATTTTGTAATTGAAGTGGTAAATACAATATGAAATTACTGAATATTGCTTCATTAAAGAACACATTAATTGCAATTCAAATAATGAAGCAAGTTGTGTGGCACTAATATGTAAACTAGACAAAGAACTACTGTCAAATCGATCGGATTCTCGCTGGACATTTTCACTTATCATGCCCTCTTTGCAATCACAAACTGGAATGGTGCATTCCACTTTGTCTGGAGGTATCCATTTTGTTGTGGATGCGACTATGTTGAGGACGACCCGTTTTAACCTCACGTTGTCGGTCTGGGATAGCGCGCAAAGTTGGGTAATCATCGTTAGGCTAATATTACTTGTGCGGCATGGGCCTAAACTTCTGCGCGAATATACACTTGTGGACTTCCAACCTATACTCCGGTGCAACGAAAGGAAAAGGGTCCTCGCCCAAGTCTATTGTCATAGCAACCATGTGGGAACATGGCAAGTGAAATAATGTGTACTTCCCACATGAACAACACGGTGGTCGGAGACTAACTATTTGACGAGCACCACCCCCATCCCATACGGTGCTGTCCTCACCTCATATTTCCCTGTTTCCCTGCAAATAAAATGTATGTACGTGGATTAATATTAGGGGTATGTTTAAATATAGACTAACATGAATGACCGACGAGTGCGAAATGATAATGTGTTGTGAATTCCGTGCATCCAATGAAAATTACCTATTAATTGGTACCAACATATGGACATTCGCTTTAGCTTGGTGCTCGTTAATCCATCGTTGAACATTACTCGTGTACAAATGACCCCAATTACTCGCATTTTCAACAATAATCTTGCCCTCGTCAAAATATTTGACAAGCTGATAAAAAGTTATCTCAACAGATGCTTTAATCAGGACACTACGTGCACCTTTGAGTACACCATTGAAGCCCTCTATATGGTTTGTCGTCAATATGCCCCAACGAAAACCACCACCTGGCACAATGTCCAATGAATAGGGTTCATCCGACTAAATCGCCATTCAGCATTCTTCTCTAGCTTGTAGATATCCTCTATAATCTTGTTAAACTTCCTCACTTGTCGTACAGAACCAGCTCTCCACACAAGATCCTTGGCTACTGTATTACCGAATCTTTTATTGAAATTGCTACATACGTATCGCAAGCAATACCTATGGTAGCCTCTTGGTTGCACTGCTGGATTGTTCCAAATTCTGGACACAACACTAAGCAAAGTCGTGTATCGATCGGATATCAATGTCACCCCCTCTAGGTCACGGCACACACGTCGCCGAATGAGAGTAATGAACCAACCCCAACTCTTGATCATCTTCTTGTCAACAACGGCAAAGGCAAGAGGTATAATCTTGTTAGCAGCAGTCACTGCAGTGGCCGCAACAATTTTGCCTTCATATTTCCCGTACAAGTGTGTGTCGTCAATGCATATCACTGGATGACAGTACTTGAAGCCTTTTATTGCTGGTTTAAATGCCTAGAACACATAGTTCATGTACATTTCAATTCCGATTGAGATAGATTGCAATTTCGAAATCATGTCCCACGTGACAACTGTGCCTGGATTGAATGCCTGTAATGCAGCCATATATCTAGGCAACCTTCAGTACGACTTATCCTAGTCCCCAAACACCATTGCAACAGCTTTCTTCCTTGCATGCCACGTTTTCTTATATGATATCGTGAACTGAAACTTCTCCATCATGACCTCAATTATGGTAGCAAGAGGCAATTCTGGTGATATCTACAAATATAAATTATATTTCAATATAGTAAACTCATACTTAAATCCTTAAAAAATGATATCATGTTGCTTATCGCAATCAGTCCCTTGATGAAATGAGCAATGAGCTCGGACTTGAGGTTGTAATTGTCCCTATTCATTCTTGGGTGCACACACTGATGCGGCGCTTCAAACCTTTTCTAATTTGAAAGAAATCTTTGTCTTTCAACTTCGTTGCCTGAACCCTCCAGTTATAGTCGTGCTTCCACTCGACCACCCAACTGTTTCCTTTGGATTCTATGACCTTGCATTCTCGATTACGCTTCAGGTTATACAACTGAACAACGTGCACTAAGCTTTTCTTATCACTAAAGATCATTCCTTTCTCTAAATGAGCAATTTCGGAGTCCCACAATGGCCAACGTTCTAATGTCGCGGCTAGTGATAGAACCATCATTGTCGAAATGCACATTATCGTAGATAGGGATAATTGGGTGTACGTCCTACATTTCGTCATGCCCTCCAACTTCATCATCACTAGAGTCATTGTCTTCACCTTCCCTTACGCCATAGAAATCTTTCACAGAATCTTCATCACTTACTCCATTCTCGTCACCAATTTGCACTGTATCATCGGAGGTTGCATATATTTGGATTGTCGTCTCCGTTCTATGTTGACCATTAAAACCTGTTGGACATTCTTCAGTCCAGTGGGAAGGTGGGGTTGTACGAACCAGCGGATTAGACATTGTCGGAGCACTTGGACCTACTCCAGCACTATAATAACCATGTCCGTGCTCTGATGCATTGAATTGAGTGTAACTCTGAGAATAATTGAATGAAGGGTAATCTTGAGGGAACATGTGTGCAAACTGTACAAGTGTATTGTTTAGGGGATTGCGATTGTGTCAACATTTGAGTGAATGTCCCTTCCACCGGAATTAGCATGTGTGCCACCAACATTGCTCTCCTTCTCCATATAGATTTCCAAATAAAATTCAGGACCATATTTCTGTGGGAGATCTAAGACATTAGTTAATGTCTCATTATCTTTGATTGGCAACAACCTATACTTCCCTCGACATAGGAGTCTACATTTAAACTTTATTCGCATTATTTCCCCGTACGTACTGACCTTGGGCACCATCATAGCCTCTAACTCCCCCAATGTTATCCCCATGTGTACATTGTACAACCCTTACGCTTCGGTGTCGTATGACACACCTTTCTCACGATTTTGCAAAATGTTTCCCCCCAATAGAACATAATGTTGACAACTTCCATATGTAAACTATGCATGTAAACATTGTCAATTTTTTCAAAAGAATACAGTAAACACATATGGGAATCTAATTTTCATGGTTGAACTATTATTATATGACATTTGATTATAGTGCTTGATAAAAAAACCATGTTATTTATTTTGTTGTGTCTCTGTGAATGTGTCACATATTACCAACATTTTACTAATCCCATGTCTAGTTTGTCATTTCATATTTCAATCAGATTTAATATCATGATGTAACATGGATCCCATACCACTTAGAGGGTTAGCTAATCCTTGTCTCTATACTCTTTTATCGTTGTAGAATTTCTTTACCATTACTATTTGCATGAGACAGCTTACACCATGGAACAAATTTTGTAACTGTTTCCCCTGACATAAAAAGGCTTGGCACACATTAGATTAGGCATAAAGGTACATAATTTATCATTTCATCTTCATGCATACAACAGGCATTGGGTCACAAAGCTACTTCATACAACCTAATTCCATCTGTTTATGACATTTTAAGCAATAGGGCTTTCATACAGCAAATCTAATAACCTAATGTGTCATAACATAAGAACCTAATTTTACAAGCCCTAATTTGTCAAATTGTAAGAACCTAACAACTTCCAACAGCAAAATCCTAAATTGTTCAGAAGTTCAAATTGTAAACTATGATGGCCACAATTGTTCAATCTCAAACAATAGTATCAAATATTCAAAAACAACAGCAATAAGTTTTTCCATGAAGAATCAAATTTATTTTCCCTTCGGAAAACATAAACACAATAAATTTAATTTCACTTTTTACCTTCCATATAATGAAAATGGAAATCAAATCAAATCCTACCCACATTTGAAATTAAATTCAAAATATTTCCAAATATAAAACCTGTAGATTTCAAATACATAACCTGTACATTTTACATAATGACCACATTTCAAATAAAATTATTTGTAAAATTATTTCAAAACAAAAAACCTGTACATCTTTCACAAAAGTTTATAATGAAAATGGAAAAAAAATTCATTTCGACATACAATAAGATAATTAGAACCGTTTAAAATAAAATACAACAAATGACTAAATAATTTGTCAAATTTTGTGACCAGAAAATTTTGTTCAACATTGAACAACCTAGATCTTAGCTGCAAAACATGTCTTACAAATTACAACATTTGTACCTTTTCAAAACCCTAGTTTTAGCAATCCTTAATTTCTAAATTGAAAATCCGAATTTTGAAATGAAAACCATCATTTATGCAAAACAAACCTTAATGTGGATATTTGCTGAAGGTCTTCCTCGTTTTGCCGGTGGTGTCGGGTTGCCCGTTCTTCGTTGTTGCTCCAACTCTCACGGCGGCCTTCGTCTTCTTGGCCTCCTTCGCGGTGCTCTTCACGTCTCTCCCTTGTTGGCCTCCTACACGGTGCTATTCGAGAATTTTGAATGTAGAGTGTGTGGGTGTGCTTCGGACTGTTGGAGCATATCATGTTTTAACCCAAAACAAAACCCAAAAAAATTATATATATTTTTATGAAAACGGTTTTCGCAAAGCCGTATTAGAAAACGGCTATTGTAACGCCGTATTATTAAGCATCTTTGGTAAAACCATTTTATGAAATAAAATATTTTTGGCAACAACATTTATATTGAAAATATAAATTGGGAAAAATAAAATTTAATAAAAACAGTTTTACGGAAATTGTTTTTTATTAACTCAAACTTAATTATACTTTAACTAAAAATAACTTTTCAAAAGTCGATTTTGTGAAGTTATTTTTTATTCATTTTTATTCACAGAAAAAAGGTATTGGCGAAGCCGTTTTCTATGGCTTTGGTAAAGCCGATTTATCCTAGAATAGAAATAAAAAAAAAAAAAAAAACACACACACCTAAAGCGAGACTAAAGTTTTGAAAATGACATAGTGAGGGAAATCGGCCCGCATGCATATGCACGTCACCACCATAAACAGGTTCTCCAAATATCAATTCTTACATTACATCATACATTGGCTATATATCAAATTGTTTTGAGTGTGATTAATAAATTAATTTTTTTATTTATTATAAAAAAATATGTAAAAAATAAAAAGTTAATGTGATTCAAATAAATTAATAAATTACATCATACATGGCTATATCAATTTGTTTTGAGTGTGATTTATAAATTAACTTTTTTATTTATTATAAAAAAATGTGTAAAAAATAAAAAGTTAATGTGATTCAAATAAATTAATAAATTAACTTTTTTATATATTGCCAAAAGAAATCATACAACAAAACAATGCAACAAAAACACACCAAACTAAATTAATTCAATGACATCCACATAACACCCAAACAAACATAACTAGCCCCTTATTTTTTTTAATTAGCAAAAGTAAAAATTTTATTGAATAAGAATTAAGGATAAACCTTTCTGTAACACATCCCTCAAACATAAGTAAATTTAAAAATCAATTACAAAATTAAACATAATTTTTTTAAAATGAATACAACACTTACGATTCTGTGATTTATACAGTGGGTTAGCAAGAAAGGTGGGTTGGACTATAATAATACAGAATTTTTTTTTAAAATTTTATTTAAAAATATTTAATTTAAATTTATTTTATATATAGATTTACATTACATTAACTTAATTTTCATCAAAAAAACACATTTTAAACAACAATTTGGGACGCTTTTCTTGGTTAATATAATTATTGTGGGTTGGAAAGAACATTCAAGAGATAGAGTTATAATGTTAAGAATCAAGAATTTAAATAATATATATATATATATATATATATAGATATGAAGACCATTAATAATATTCACACTTGTGTGATGAGACCTACAATTTGAACAAATACATAAAAATAAAATAAAAAATTCTTCTTGAATTCTTCTTAATCCATCCCATTAGTCTAGGTCAAGGTCCATTATTGACTCAATCCACAAAATTACAAATATCATATACTAATAACAAGAGATTAGAATGCGTTGTGTGATTGAAATTAAAATTATGTGTTATAAAATTTAGATATAAAATAAATCTGAATCGCATGTTGATATTTATTATTGATCAAAAATTTCATCTACAGTATTTCTCATCATTAATGCTTTTTCTCATCAGCAAGAATTTTTCTGATAGAGTTGAAGTAGCAGCATTGTTTAATTTTTTTAAACAATACTAAAATTTCAAATAAATTACTAAATATTTTATTAAATACTCATATTAATGTAAGTCTTATGTCGGTATCATGTAGAGTGAGCCTCACACTGAATATTTGATAGAATATTTGATAACTTATTTAACATCTCTAACATTTTTAAACTACTTATTTGCTAATAAAATATTATAAATGAGAGTTTTTTTTTTTGGTCTCTCAATAACTCAATATAAATTTTCTTATTATTAATAGATGATAGTAGGATAATTCTTGAGTGTTCAAGGCATACGATATGTCAACACATTTTTACGGGTTAAGTTACACGACTTTGTATTAAGTTACACTATTTTGTGAGATGACTTACGTATGTTTGTGAGAACTTACGCTAAATTATAATTTTTTAAATTTTTATGGGTTAACGTACATGAATCTGTATTTAACTTACGCGATTTTGTGAGCTAACTTATGTATGTTTGTGCGAACTTATGCTAAATTATGATTTTTCAAATTTTAATAGATTAACTCACGAAAATTTATATTTAAGTTACACAATTTTGTGAGATAACTAACGCATTTTTATAAAAATTTACACAAATTTACATACACTTTTACATATGGCGTGCAACCTTTAAGGTGTTGCACACCAGGGCGGGCCCTGAGTTATTAGAGCCCTAAAACAAAATTTTTAAATTGGGTCCTTCATATATCATTACCAAAAATAATTGTTTGGATAAAACAAAAAGGATAAAAAATTATTTCTATTGCAATACAATTTAAGAAAAATTTGATAACAAATATATATATATAATAGTTGAACTTCAGTTAGTTGAATTGAATTTTTATTTTTTAACTTACCAATGCTATAAGAACCAAAATTAATTGGGGGGTAAGGATGAGAATTTTCAATACAATTCAAGCAATATATCAAATTAGCAAGTTAGGATTGACTATTTTCCAACATGAATCCAAGTATAACACGACTTAATAACATGAATTATTAGTTATATATTTTAATGTTCACTAAAGGATGTCATGACATTTTTTT